GGGAGACAGAGGATCTGAAGCAGGCTCTCTGCTGACAGCAGAGAGAGCCCCATGTGGGCTCCAACCCACCCATGAACTGTGAAATCATGACCTGAGCCAAAGTCAGACACTTAACCGACTGAGCCACCCAGGCTCAGAGTTTGTTTGTTTGTTTGTTTGTTTTTTAATATATTATAAATGAGGGAGAGATAAATTTTGTCAAATTGTTTCTCTGTAACTATTGAAATAGTCATATAAACTTTCTCCTTTTTTTAGTTAATATGGGTGGGTTAATTTTTAAATGTTAAACGAATCTGGAATTCCAGAATAATTTTAATTTATATGTCACTAGATTCAAATGTCTAAAATTTTGTTAAAGACCTGAGGCAGATCATTTGAGAGGCATTTGAGAGACTGACCTGTAACTCTTCCTTTCATGAAATGCCTTTGTCAGGTTTTGCAATTGTGGTTGTATTGGTCTTATAAAAGTTGCATTTGAAAAACAGTTGTCTCTCTGTTTTCCAGAAGAGTTTGTGCAAGGCTTGTGTTATTTCTTCTCCGTAAATTTTTTCAAGAATTTACAAGTGAAACCATGTGGGCCTAGAATGTTCATTGGGGGAGATTTTAAATAATGGATTGACCATCTTTAATAGATATTGAACCATTCAGATTTTCTACTTCTGACAGTTTTGATAAGTTGTATTTTTCTAGGGATTTATACATTTCACCTAAATTGTCAAGTTAATTGTTGTTGAAGTGTTTGAATTGTCAAGTAGTTGGCATTATTCTAGTTATATTTTTATTATTGATTTCTACTTTGATGCTATTGTGGAAAAATAGCAAACTATCAATGACTTTAATTGTTTTCAAATTCGTTGAGACTTTCTTTATGATTTCAATAAAAGATCTATTTGCACTTGAAGAGAAGGTGCATTCTATCATTGTTTGATGTAATATTCTATATAAGCCAGTTAGATCAAGTTGGTCAATTGTGGTATGTTTTTACAGATTTTTTTTGTTAGACTATTTTATGAGCTAATGAACTATGCTAAAGTTTTGCATTAAGAGTACGGATTTGTCCATTGCTGCTTTTAATTCTGCCCATTTTGCTTCAATGGTTGAAGTTCTGTTACAGAGTACATACAAATTTAGGATTGTAATAGCTTCCTGCTGGATTCACCCTTTTATAATTATGAAATCTCTGTCTTTATCTGTGGTAATGCTTTTTTGCATTACATCTACTCTGATTTTAGTACAGATATACTACCTTTCATTGAGTCTTTTCGTGGCTTTTTGTTGTTGTTGCTCTTTTGCTGTCAACTCTTCTGTTGCGTTCTGTGGTCTCTTTTTATCTTTAGTGTGACTCTTTAAGCAAAACATAGTTGTTGACTAATCCAACCTGACAACCATAAACCTTGGTGTATTTAGTTCATTTATACTTAATGTAATTACTTGCATGGTTGAATTTATATATACCATGACGCCATTCATTTTCTATTAAAGCTGTATTATGTTACTCTTTTTCTATTTTATTTCCCTCTTTAGGACTAATCAGACATTTTAAAAAGTATTATTCCACTTATCCCTTCTATTATCTTGTAATTTTTGTCATTAACTATTCATATACTGATTCTCCTAGATATCCGATATACATTCTTACCTTACAATAGACTAATACAAATTGTAATGTTGACTGTTGCCTATCTCTCACTTTGTGTTACTGTTCTACATATAATGCAAACCTCATGTGATGTTATGATTATTATTTTGCAGAGTTCATATTTGTATTTACTGATTTAGTTTCCCTTTCTAGTGTTCTTCATTCCCTTCTGCATGTTCACGTTACTATTTGGGATCATTTTCTCTCTGCCTGAAGATATTTCTTTAATTTACCTTTAGGGAATGCCTTCTATCAACAAATTCCCTTAATTTTGTTAGTCTGAAAATGTGCTTGTTTCATCATCCTTGCTAAAAGATATTTTCACTGAATATAGAGTTATAAGTTGGAAGTCATTTTATGTTAGTTCTCTAAAGATTTCATCAATAATCTTCTAACTTCTATTGTGTGTGTGGGGGGGGGGGGGGCAGGTGTAGTGTAGTACCAAGATTCTTCTTTGGGAAGGGAGATACTTACCTTCCTCTTGCTGGGAGTATTTCATGCTGACAAAACATAGTTTGGTCCCTCCTCAGGAATCACCCTTGGAAGAAGACCCCTGTTCAAAGTACAGCAAATATCTATGATGTGGAAACCAGCTAAGTGCTTGAGACAGGCCCCCTTCCCAAGTGTGTGAAACTACAGGAGACTTCGCTTTGCTTTGTAGGAGCCTAACTCCCCAAATGTCCAGATAGCCCCAGAATTCCCCGTGCCTTTGGGGCTCTCTACATCTCCAATTTGTTGCTAAGCCCTCGTGATCTTAAAGGCTTACTTGTTTCCTTTTCCCTGAGCAGAGGCTCTCCTTTTGGCTAAGCCAGACCTTTATCCTGAACCCAGGATCAGCAATGCTTCCAAGGAAAGGAGAGCTGGTGGCTGGCAGTCATCTGGGAAATTTCTTTGCTCTCTATAAATGCATCCTATTCACATAGTCCTTGTTATCAACCAAATGATTGGTTCCCCACAAAATCCATATGTTGAAGCCCTAAGTCCCAATGTGATAGTATCTGGAAATGGGGCTTTGGGAGATAATTAGTGTTAGATGATGTCATGAAGGTGGGACCCTCATTATGAGATTACTTTACCCTTATAAGCAGAGACACCAAGGAGCTTGCTCTTCCTCTCCCTCTTCATGAGCATGCACCAAGGGAAGGCCATGTGACCACACAACAAAAAAGCAGCTATCTGCAAGACAGAATGAGATGTCTCGCAGAACCTGATCATACTGGCACCCTGATCTTGGACTTCCAGCCTCTAGAATTGTGAGAAAATTAATATCTGTTGTTTAAGCCACCAGGTCTAAGGTATTTTGTTATGGAAGCCTGGGAAGACTAATGCAGTTTTTATTGCTCCCATGGTTCACTGAGGTTTCTAAAAATCTGATTTTTAGAATTTATTTGGCCTTTTCTAGGTGTTGCGGTAGAGCGTTAGCCTGACATGACCTATTATGTCCCAGTGGGAAACGGAAGTCTGATTTGCTGCAGTTTTTAAGCCAGATTTTTCTATTGCTCTCAGTATGTAAATTATGTCATGGTTTCACTACATACTTTCTGTTGTCCCCCAGCATCCATTCTCCCCTTCTTCCATAGTGAAAGAACCCTCAACCATTACCTGGGACATGGCTTCCCAGAGTAGAGACTACATTGTCCACCCTCCTTTGCAGAGAGGTGTAGGTCTTCTTTCCTTTAGAATGTGAGAAGAAATTTTGTGGACAACTTCCCGGTGGTATCTTCAAAGAAAAGGGATCTGTTCTTGCCTCCCTCCTTCCACCGTCCACAGTTTGGGATACACACGTGGTAGTGTGCCCTTTTGTCCTACATGGACAAAGGCAACTCCTTAGGAAAAGGCGGGGGAGGCTCGTCCCCACATTTCAGTGAGCAGAGCCACCATGCCAGCTCAGAATTTGATTTGAGACAGAAACTTCATTTTTATATTTTTATGGTTTGTACCATTAATGCTTTTTTTTCCATTTATACTCTTGCCCTTAGTTTATCTCTTTTTAAAAACAGTTCTCTTGAGGTATAATTGACATACAATAAAATTCACATATTTAAAGTGTACAATTTTATAACCATTAATATTTTTGTCTCTGTCATATGCTGAATTTATATGCCTACAAATATACTTACAATAGCCTCATTACTTGGTGTTAGAAAGTTGGTATTTGTGAGTACATTGATTCATTCGACAAAGTATTTACTGTGTGCTGTGCCAGGCATTGGTTGTGCTAACTTGGAAGATTGTAGCCCAGAGACTAAATCTGAACCCCAGATATTATTTATTTGGCCAAGTTGGGGCAGGGGGCTACATGGCAATAATCGCCAGGAGCTGAGTAGAAGTTGCCCTCATTAGATGACACTTTCACTGTTTCATCCAGGCCACTTCATTCCTTTAATTTACCTGCCTGGTCACTATTAGAATTAGAATTTGAGACCCTTCAGTTATAGATTCTAAGATATAAGACATACCCCTTGTTTTCAGTACACGTATGTTCTAGAGGGTGATGATCAGGTATGACGATCACCACCTCATAACATGGGTTGTCAGTCTACAGCCTGTGGGTCAAACCTGTCCTAGCATCCCTTTTTGCAAATAAAGTTTTTATTAGAACACTATTATGCCCACATGCTCACATCTTGTCCACACTGCTTTGACACTACTGTGGCAGAGCTTCATGGCTGTGGCTGCCACCGTGGAGCTCCCTACCTAGACAGGTTCCTACAGCAGCTGTAACAAGTTGGGTGGCTAAAGTAGCAAAAATTAAATCTTTCCCAGTTGTGAAGGTCAGAAGTCCAGGGTCAAGGTGTTGATAGGGCTACACTCCCTCTGGGGACTCTAGAAAACAATCCAATTTTTGCCTCATCCAGCTTCTCTTGGCATTGCTTAATTCCTGGCTTCATTGCTCCAATCTCTGTCTTTGTGGTCACATGGCTTCCTCCTGTTCTCCCTGTCTTCTCTGTGTGTCTTCTATAAGAATATTTGTCATTGAATTTAGGCCTCACCCAGCTAGTTCAGGATGCTTTCCTCATCGTAAGATCCATTACATCTGCAAGGATCGTTTTTTCAAATAAGGTAACATTCTCAGGTTCCTGGCTTTCAGACATGGATCTTTTTGGGGCACCTGAGTGGCTCACTCGGTTGAGTGTCCAACTTTGGCTCAGGTCATGATCTCACTGTTGGTGAGTTTGAGCCCCCGTCAGGCTCTGTGCTGACAGCTTGAAGCCTGGAGCCTGCTTTGGATTCTGTATCTCCCTCTCCCTCTCCGCCTCTCCCCACTTGTGCTCTTTCTGTCTCTCTCAAAAACAAATAAACATTAAAAAAATTTTTTTAAGCAGTGAAAATCTTTTTAATAACAAGGCAGGGTCTGGGGTTAGTTTTTGTAGTCACAGCTGGCCCTGCGGCCTCTGGCGCGCTCTTGGATCCGGCCCTTGGATCGCATGTAGGGTTTGGTGTGGCTGTGTGGGGTTCTTGGGGCCTTGCCAAAATGCCTGTACACCTCTCGGCCCTTGCGCGGACCAGAGAGCAAGACGGTGCCACAGCCTTGGGGGGGTCCAGGGCCAACTGGTCGAAGGTGAGGATCTTGCCTCCAGCTTTGAGGTTGCAGCTCCCGGCAAGGCTGCTCACATGCGGCACGCACACGCGCACACCTTCACTTTGGGCACCTCCTGGACCCGAAAGTCATTGGTTACCCTCCCGGCAACCACAGAGGTTTTGTTTTCCCCGCCAGGCTGCTTCATCTCCCGGATCATCCGGGAAAGGGACAGAGGTGGCTGGTTTGTGCGACTCATGAACAATCTCTTCAACATAACTTGGTTAAAGGTAGAGTTGGTCCGTCTGGCCAGAAACCGGTGCAGCTTGACCAACAGTCTCAGGTAGATGTCCTGGCTCTTGGGTTCCTTGCGCAGAACCTTTTGGTCCTTATTGTGGCGGATGTCGACTCCCATGATGGCGCCTCCTGCTCGGCCAGGTCTGGAAAGCAAACATTTAAAATTTTTTTAAAAAGACATGGATCTTTTTGGGGCACCAGGGTGGCTCACCCTGTGAAGCGTCTGACTCTTGATTTTGGCGGAGGTCATGATTTCACCATTGAGATTGAGCTCCATGTTGAACTCTGTGCTGACAGCACAGAGCCTGCTTGGGATTCTGTCTCTCCCTCTCTCTTCCTGCCTGTCCCCCACCTCAAAAATAAATAAACTTTTAGAAAAAGAAGATATGGATTTCTCCAGGGTCTACCATTTGGGCTACCTATACTTTCAAAACCTAAAATACTAATTATTTAGCCCTCCTCAGAAAAAAATCCCCAATCTTTACTACAGGGTAGTGCAAATGCAAAGAAGAAGGCCATTTAACTCAGACTACTGGAGGTGGGAGATCGAGAACACTTTATTCCCAGGGAAAGTGATGCCGGAACTGAATCTTGATGGTCAGATACAATTTATCCAGGCTTGGGGAGTGTTGGAGACATGAGAGGAGAAGAAAGCGGGAAAGTGCTTCAAGCAAAGGGAATAGCAGCATGTCAGAAGGCCAGGAGGAATAAAACAGTGTGGTATGTAGGTCAATACAAGTAGCTCAGCATGGCTGTTGTGTCAGGTACGTATCAGAGGAAGGCAATGGTCGGTTCATTAGAAACCAAACTAAAAATTTTATATATAATCCAACATACTGTAGGAACAATGATGAAGTTGAAACCAGGGAGAAAGGCAATGAGATTTACATTTTATAAGAATCACTTGGCACGAATATGTACCAAATACATTGGATAAGGGTAAGAGTTGAGTCAGGAGACAAGAGGTTATCACAGGAATCTGAAAGCTGTTATGAGCCCCTGAACTGAACTGAAGTAGTGGCAGTAGAGATGGAGGAAATATGGGACTTAAAGAATCAACAGGACAGGGAGATTTAATTTTTACGGATGTGGCAAGAGTTGAAGAGATAAGATGACTCCCAGATTTCTGAATTGGGGAAGCAGGTAGATGTTTGTGTTGAATATGAAGATAGAAAACATGGAAGAGTGCATTTGGAGGGCAAGAGGGAGAATTCCATGGTGCACTTGATGAGCTGAGAGTAGGATGATGGCTAGCATTTTGAACATGTTTGAGTTGTGGACATCTAGCAGAATCTACTGAATAAGTCCTTATATATGCGGGTTTGACAGTTAGGAAAATATTAGGAGTGGAAGTATAGGTTTGACTATTATTTTTATGCCTTTTGAAGGCCACATTTTAATGATCCTTGTCTGTTCCAAATCTTTCCGTGTAGAGTAGGTAAAGACATTTTCTTTAAATTGGTAAGATTAAAGGACAGTAGGATGTTATTCTTTACAATAATGTTATGATATGTTCATTACTATCAGGTAATGAAAATCAACCACCACTTCACTTGTATTTCTCCTCCTACTTTACAAACACTAATTAGTATTCAAATTGCTAATGTGTGGTGAGTAAGAGCTTCACAGAAATTATTCATATACTTCCTGGTTGCTGGGGATCCAATTTATCTACTCAGTTGATGGGACACACAGGAAGTGACTAACACAGGGGTTAAGGTGCATGAAGAAATAAGCAAAGCAAGTAGAATTTCCCTGATTTGAAAACTTACAAGGAATAAAGAAAAAATTTTCCCCTTTGGAATAAGTTTTCGGGTATTTTCCAGGGTTTGATTATCCAGTTGTATCTACATACAATATTTTAATAGTATATATCTTAACAATGAAATACTACCCTGTGTACTACTCCTGGTTTACTGAGTCCTGGATATGGAAACTGAGTTCAGCATACCATGCTCTTATCTAACCTTGAGAACAGTCTAGAAATCTTCCCATTGCCATCCCCAAATGTCCTAAACCATTTGAGTCCTTCTCATCCTTCAATTAGGAAAACTGCCGCCCCCCCACCATGCTATCATTATTAGTTCAAGTGAGTTAATTTTTCATCACAGTACCTTGTTTGCTTCCTTATTAGAATTGAGCATAACCTGATTTATCTACATTATTTTTTCTCAATTAGACTCAAGAGGAATTTAATTTCATTGATCTTTTCTATTTTGAAAGATTTGTCCTTTGAAAAACTTTTAGCTTTACATTTATTAATTTTTTCTTTCCTAACCTTAAAATCCCATCTTTCTAGTGCTTCTTGTTAATTTTGCTGAACTTTTTAATATTCTTAAGATGTATGCTAAAAATCTACTCCTTTTTTGTTATTTCTTCTTTAATAATGAAAGTATTTAAGGTTTATACTTTCATTCCTTACTGTGGCTTTTGCAGCAGTGTCTCATAGGTTGTTGTTTTGTTTTGTTTTGTTTTGTTTTGTTTTGTTTTTAAGTAGTCTCCATGCCCAGCACAGAGCCCAGTGCTGGGCTTGAACTCATGATCCTGAGATCAAGACCTGAGCTGAGATCATGAGGTGGATGCTTAACTGACTGAGCCACCCAGGTGCCCATCATAGGATTTGATGTAAAGTGGTCTCCTTCTATTGCTGTCTAAACAGTTCATAATTTGTTTTGAAATCCACTGATTATTTAAAAGTGTATTTCTCAGTGTCCAAGTGGTTGGAATGTAAACACATTTCATTATGTAATATCTGATACATTCAATAGACTCTACGTAAGAGTCAGCACCCATCGACAAAACTAAAAAGTGGAGCATTAACAATATCACTAACGCTCACCTATGCGCTTTCTTTTCTTTTCTACTGATCAATTGGACCAACCCTAAAATAAAACCACACTCTCTCATTACTCTGGCTTTATAATAACTCTTCGTAACTTATGGAAAGCCCCCATGTGATTCTATTTCTATTGTATTCTATCAGGGATAATGGCACGGTAAGGAGCTTCAAGGCCCTGACCCTCAACGGAAACACTGAAAACTGACAAAAAATGTCAGAATGAACTTTATAGGAACTCTGGAAAGCAGTCAACGGCTTACAGCAACCAAGCAAACACTTAATCAGGAAAAAGCAACTGAAACCTGGAAATCTTTGTGGCATTTCTAACCTACCCTTGCCCCTGGGGTAAAACTGCCCCACTTCCCCTGCTCGGTGGTGCTCTGGAGAACTCAGCCCATGGAGAGAGCAGAGCTGACCTCGTTCTCAAAGAATTGTGGTTGTTCTTGAAGGTCTAGACAAAAGTTTGCCTTTCCTTTGCCTGACTTGGAACTCTCTCAAGGGCAAAGAAGCTGCAACATGGAGGGGTTTTTCAAAAACATTTACAGGCAGAATTATTACTTTCTGGCACTAAGGATATCAGTTGAGGCAAACAACTGACACTCCACAAAGCCTGGGAGAGAGCCGCACCTGCGCTTGGAACTGGCAGAGGCGTCATTGCAGCCGCTGCCTCCACCACCACATCCACAGTCCTGCTGAAGCACGAGTCGACTGTGGACGTGACCTGTGAAGGTTACTCTAATGCAGTCAGTCGGGCGCTCAACTAGCTGGGAGGAGTTGAGTCTGACATTCCCCTGCCCAACAAGGTTTGCATAAACTCTGAGCACAGCATAGACACTCTGCTGGAGACCATGGGGAAAACAGGAAAGGCTGTTTCCTACCTCTGCCCTAAGTAGCGAGGGCAAGGGCGTGGACCCCTGGGCCCAAGATGGACCAAAGAGGGCAGGACACTAATCCTTTTCTGCCTTCCAGACAGACCTGGGGTCTGGCAGTCTTGCTCAGAGATGGGAGTTCCTGCTGAGACCCTCACTAGCTCTGCTCTTCCCTCGTGTCCCTGCAATAAAGTTGAGTCACTTTTGTTGGGGGGGGGAAAAAAAGCCTGAGAGCAAGGCTGGGAAGTGAGATACTTTGAGGAATAAGAGTTTCAAAAATCTTCTACATACACCTGGGAATCTAGAAGGCTACATGTGTGCCCAGAGTGGAGCTCTCACACCTTGTCAGTAGGAATGTAAAATGGTATAGCCAGTGTGGAAAATAGCTTGGTATGTCTTTAATAAGTTAAAATAGAATCACTGTATGACTCAGAAATTACCATATGATTCCACTCCTAGGTATATACCCAAAAGAACTCAAAACAGATCTTCAAATGAATTTGTGCAAAAGGGTCTACAGCAGCACTATCACAATAGCCAAAAAGTGGAAGCAACCCAGAAACTAACAGACAAATGCAGCATATCCTACACAATGGGATATTATCCAGCCGTAAGGAAAGCCCTGTCACGTGCTACCACATGGATGAACCTTAAAAACATTATGTTAACTGAAATAAGCCAGACACAAAAGGACACATACTCTATATTTCCATTTATATTAAAGACCCAGAATAGGTAAATTTATAGAAACAGAGAGCAGATTAACACTTGTGGGGGATTGGGGGGTGGGGTGGGAGAAAGGTGAGTAGGGATTAACTACTTAATAGGTTTGGGATTTCCTTTTGGGGTGATGAAAATGTTCTGGAATAGGTGATGATGATGGCTGGTCAGCAATGCAAATGTACCAAATGTCTCTGAACTGTACATGTCAAAGTGGTTATGATGAAGAATTTTATGTTCTGTGTATTTATCTGCAATTAAAAAAATAAGTGAAAACATAGTGTCTGGGTTCATTTTAGGTCATGTTTCTCCAAATACAATTAAAAATTTTTTTAACGTTTATTTATTTTTGAGAGAGAGAGAGAGGCAGACTGTAAGCAGGGGAGGGGCAGAGAGAGAGAGAGAGAGAGAGAGAGACAGAATCAGAAGCAGGCTCCAGGCTCTGAGCTTTCAGGACAGAGCCCAACGCGGGACTCAAACCCACGAACTGTGAGATCATGACCTGAGCTGAACTTGGACCTTTAACCGACTCCAAATACAATTTTTAAATAAACCTGTCAATATCCTTGATATCTGCACATAGTAAATCTTTCAACTGATTAACTATTAACATAGTACAGCTCTCTAAGTTGTCTTTACACCTTTTACTTACTTTAGTTTTAATTTTCTCTCTCTAAAGACGTTGCTTTCTT